ACACACACACACACACACACACACACACACACACACACACACACACACACACACACACACACACACAAGCTCAGTGTTAATGATGCAGAGAAGAAAATGTGTAGGTGAAATCACAAAACAATTGGTACAAGGACAAAGAAAATAAAAGAGGTAAAGACGCAAAATGCAAATTCTTTCGCTGAAGGCGTCACCCTGTAAAAGTCATGATAGGCGGGTGAGTCATTCTCCAGAAACTCTCTGTCCTCACCTGTCACTATTGCTGCTGCCGCGTGCTGGAGAGTTTTCTCTGACTAAGAAAACAATGCAGCGACCTGGCACTGATCAGCGTGCCTTATACAGCTTTGTAATTCAGCTCTGATCCGCCCACGCAGGCCGGCGTACAATTACCATTCGACCATGAAATAACAGGTCTCTACAGTCGCATTTCAAAGCTGAGACGTGTCAGAGCTGTGATTAGCTGCTGGGGTCAGATTCCAGAGCTGTGACTGGCTAATTTCAGACCAAATGGAGCGTTTAGATCGTCGTCATCTACTCGTGGGGTAATCTGCTGTTCAAATTTACATTCCAATAGGTGTTTCAGTTCGCTGACGCATGATTTAATGCTTGCATTTTGGTGACATTGACTTTGTTTTGCATGGTTTTAATAGTAGCAAAATCAGGTCTATTTTGTCCCCTTTTTTCTGACCTCATAACATGTAATGAAGTGGTAACACTTTCCAAATTGGATTTGGGCATATTTATCAAAGGTGAGAAAACATGTAAATTAACATTAAAATCTTACTACTTCACCAGTACCACCTCTTTGGCCTGATTTGGAAAGAGTGATGTTGTGTAAAAAGCCCAAGGATATTTGGCATGCAGACTGGGGGAGCCAGGGATCGAACCACAAACCTTCTGATCAGCAGATGAAGGATGTATGGACACCTTTAGATTTATTAATCATGTAAATTTCCTGTACCTGTTATAGATGTCCTCATTCCAAAGTTCAAACATTGAATGTCATATTGATGGCCAAAGTGGGTCATGGCTGGACGCCCAAATTGTGGACTTAGTTTGGACGGAATTGGCTATGGACCAATGGACCCAATATAGATCAGATCTGCATGTCTATCCAACGTCCAATGTATAGTGGGAAAAAACTAAAAAGTGACACAAAAACACTTCAAAAAGACATAAAATGTCTACAAAGGGACAAAAATTTACTGCAAAGTAGCACAAAACAACTTCTAGGAGACATAAAATGACTAAAAAGCAATAGAAATGACTAAAAAGTGGCAAAAAACAACATCATAAAGACACAAAATAATTCTTTGAAGGAGACACAAATATGCAATATGACTTAACCCTCTCAAGGCAGGCGTTGCCGATTTGCAACAGTTAAAAACGAACAACCTGATTACCCCACATACATATTTTATGAGTTTTCTTTTACTCAGAAGTACCACTGAAGGACTTGGTTGTGCATTAGTAAAAAGTTTAATTTGAGCCTGAGAGGGTTAAAATGGTGGCAAAAAATATCTGCAGACTCACGAGACATCAAAGACAAACTTCAAAGAGAAGGAAACCGAGCACAAAGAGATATAAAATAAAAAATGAGACACAAAATGACTGCAAAAAGACACAAAATAAGTAGAAAAATGACAACAAACAAACAGCAAAATAGCTAAGAGAGGCGAAAAAGAAAGAAAAGGGACCTTAAACTTCTTTTTGAAAAGTCAATATTTATTTAATATGTGTTTCCATCCCATCATGTCAAATACTGCTTGTGTTCTGGTTTCTCTCCCTGCTCCGTGTGCTTTAGTCAGCAACACGTACTTGGTTTAATTTAGGCAGCAAAAAAACTTAAAATTTGTCCCCTATACATCATTGACCTTGTGTGGTGAAAATGTAACAAAGATGATCTTCCATACATGACACATTAGTTGTAAGAGAGCTTTTTCATTATTGCCAGAAATGTGTGTATCTGTCAGATGTCAGCATTTATAGGAATTTGGTCATTTACTTGAAAATCCATCCCAAACACACATACAACATATCATATGTTTCTTTACATGTGACACAGCTTTAACCTGCACGCCCAATATCACGATTGGAATGTTAGATTCTTTAACCTTTCATCGCTACAAAAATCTGCAGACTAATATTTCATCCAGCAAATCATTTGTCAGTACAAAGTTATATTTAGGCACCCTGTTCATTAACTTGGCCTCTGTCTTTATCAGAGAACAGTCTGCATGGACTGGCTTTGCTTTGCATCCTTCACCACATAACAGCGGTAAAATGTAATCATGTGCTTCACAGTTTCACAAAATTAACAATAAATCATTTAACAGGTGCTGCTTCCCCAGATTGGACCTTACTATGAGGCATCTGTGTTTTAGAGGGAAAGGGAAAGGTTGTCTGCACTAGCACATTTAGAAGCTTCCAACCACTTTATTGATGCAACTTTTTGGGAAAATATTCCCGCCCCCTTTGGCGTAAGACAGGAATCAACCTCAGTGAATTCAAATGTTGAGCTGGAGGCAGTGACATCATTGTCAGCCATCACGCTCAGAGAAATGAATGAGAAAAATGGAGTCTGAAATGGAGTGTGACACTAGAAATATATTCAAAGAAAAAACAACTTGATAGGGTATGTGCGATCCCTGGTTGATGTAGGACAGAAAAAGCTGACAGTAAACCCCTGAATCCCTTTTAAGTCATGATTATTCTTTGTGTAGGGTTCTAATAATTTGGGGTTTTTTGGTGATATAAACATGAATTGTGTTGTAACACAGAGTCAGTCATTCACTTAAACTGCTGTAGTTTTTTTTCATTGTTAGCAGTCTATCTGCTGTTCTTCTTTGGCATGTGCCTATTACAAAAGGAAACATAGAAATGTGAGGATTCTCAGGCTGCTTATCAAGATGACATATTCATTTATGATGCCTGCAGAATATGCTACTATCCTCCGTACACTGAATCTAAAAGGAGGTGTATCATATCTATGTGTTCATATTTGGCTGTGTTATGACTCATAGGAAGCTCCATGTTTGATGCAAATTGCTGCAATCTGCTACTAACGGGTTTAAAGTACCTAAATTACCTCCATGAGCCACTGCTGTTGCTGGAACCTCTGACAGTGTTGAAAAGCAACCAAATCAGCCACCAATCTCCACAAAATACCCAGCATTCATGGGTTCCTTTCACCTCCGCTCTCCATGTTCAACTCTTTGACACCCTGCTGGGACGGCTCAATTCCCAGAACGAAAACCTCTGCTCCAGTGCTTTGGAGTGCTTGTCTGAGCCACCCTTGCACACAAAATGGGTAGAAAACATGATTTGCTATCCGGTCTCTTTCAGACTTTTCAGATTTTATTGGAATGAGGGACATTTTAAAAGACTTAACACAGAGGACAAACAGTTTTTGAGTATGTTGGCCATGTATCATGTATGTATGGTTTCGCTTTATGTGTCTTCTAAGCCTTTCGAGGCAACAGCAGTTGCCATTTTTGTTGTGTAACGCTCCCGTGGTTGCATGTCATTCTCATCTGTCTCGAGGTTAATGGAAATGACAGTTTGCTTTTCGCATGCAGTGTTTGAGTTTGCTCTCTGTTATGCAGCCCCCTGACTCACTTCAGTAAATCCAAGCAGCATTTCCACCTAACCCACTGACATTAGTGCAGGTAGCTTTGGTGTGCACTCATAAACTGTATATAAATGATGGACGTGCCATCAAGGTCTAAAACGTGAATCCAATGTGCCAAAGTACCTTAAGTACCTTCTGATGGCCACTATAGGAGCAATCTGGTCTCGTAAAAAATCTTTTAAAATACATCATGTTGTTAATTTAATGAGTAGTTCAGTACAAATGAAATATATCTGTATATACCGATATAGACATTTATTCAAGCTTCTGAATACTCTGTGGTTTATTTATTAGTTCCAATGTGAAGATGTGTTTTTGTTGATGAAGATAAGACTTTATTCAGAGAAGAAATATCTTTGTTAGTCTGCATGTTTGTTTCAAGGTGTGCTTCTAACCTAGCCTGAAACTCACCATGTGAGTGGCCGATTTGATTAACTCTTGTTTGTTCTTGTTTGTTTACAGGCAGAAATATAAAAGTACATCGCAAAGGTAAGGCACGCACTGGCACACACATGCACGCACAATTGTTTTTATGGAGAGTTGAAACAATTAGTTGTATTCTTGTGTATTTGTTTAGCGGAAAATCATTGTGACAACTGACAAGCATGAATGAAAAATTTAAAATACAAAATAGAGAAAAAAAAATCAGCTTCTCTAAACTGCAGATGTTTTTGCTTTTTTCTTCTTTATAAAAGTGTAGAAGTGAAAAGTGTAGATATTTAATAACATTCCCTTGGTCTTTTGGTCTATGAAACTTACACTACCAGTCAAAAGCTTGGACACATCTTCTATTTTATAGGTTTTTCTTTATTTTCATGACTATTTAGATTGTAGATTCTCATTGAAGGCATCAGGACTATGAATGTGTGTGAATTAACTCAAAACAAGTTTTATATTTTAGATTCTTCAAAATAGCCACCCTTTGCTTTAGGTCAGATGACTGTGAAAGCCAAGCTATCTGGCGCAGCACTCCATCACTCTCCTTCTTCTTCTTCAGCATGTATCTATGTATGTTGAAAGTAGTAAAAAATAAAGAAAAAATATTAAATGAGAAGATGTTTCCAAACTTTTGACTGGCAGTCTATATTTTCTGATTCATGATTAAATCCTTTCTGCAGTTGTTTTGAGTAAGTCTTTGATAATTAAGTGCACAAAGATTTTTTTCACCATAAAAGCACACTGAGCTCATTATGCATCATAAAAATATGAAAATGAATTAGCATGTTATTTTAGAATTGTGGAAACCATCATCGACACATAAAAGGTGCTACTTGCTTTACCCTGAAATTTAAAAGAAAAAATAACTTTGTCTTTGTCTAAAACAGATACACTCCCAGAGGGAGGCCTTGTTTGACGTGCAACACTAAAACATGTTTCAGCTCTTTAAAAAGACCCTTCCTATTTCTTTACGTATTTTGTGTAATTTTAAAACAAACCTGACTGTAAATGTGTGTGTTCTCAGGGGATATTGCTTTTAGCTTTGTGACTGTAGACTGTAAACTTAGGCTACATTCACACTGCAGGCGAAAGCGCGTCAAATC